GCCCTGGGAAACTGTCACCAATTACTTTCTTTTATTTATTTATTTATTTATTTGATTATTATGAATATTTAGACAGGGTGGCCCAGTTCAGCAATAGCTGGTCAAAATGGGGCCCTCATGTATGTATGTGTTGTGGTCCAATTTTATTCATGGTTTAAGTTTTTAGTGTATTTTCCTTTCTTCTTGGACATAGTAATATATGACAATGAGTTTGAAACAAAGGAAAATAGAATTAAAATAAAGGATGAAATTAAACCATAACATATATATTCTGTAATTACTTGTATAACGAATCGACCTTATTTTTTTATGGTCTACACTTTTATAGACCATAAAATGGTGTCATTAAATTATCAAAACTCAGGTGGAACCAAAAGACATTTTATCAAGGCTGTGCTCTAAGAAAAATCACAAGGAGCCCTAAGGTTCCAAACTATTAAATCCACTTCATTGTGATGTTAAAATATTGATTGACAGCTTACTGAATGCAACTTGCAACTTTCACTTGAAATTTTCTAGAATAGTTTGTGAATTATTTTTAAGTTCCATTTTCCCATATAAAACAAGATATAATNAATGATCAATATTTCTAAGAGTCTGGTCATCTTTCTTTTATTAACCATAATAGTACTCGTTTCGCAAAAGTAGTAATTTTGACAGAATTACTATTTTGCGAAATGGCGTTTTTTCACCTTTATTTAGCAAATATGTCCTCTTCGTCCGAAAAAAAATGTGTCCATTAATAAAATGGTAAATATTTGTTAGAGCCTGGTCACTTTTCATTTTATTGACCATAATAGAACTCCTTTCGCAAAGTAAATTTTGCCAGAATTATTATTTTGCGAAATGGCGTTTTTTTCACCTTTATTTAGCAAATATGTCCTGTTCTTCTGAAACAAAATGTTTCCACTAATAAAATGATCAATATTTCTAAGAGCCTGGTCACCTCTCATTTTATTGACCATAATAGAATTCTTAATAAGTAGTTTCTTAGAAATCGACTTTGAATAAAAGCTAGCGCTAAGAAGTCACGACGTTTCGACCTCTCTGAGGTCATTTTCAAGTGAGTAAGTTTTCCAACTCAGCATCAATATGTTGAAGCAAGTTGAAGACGATAAAATGTGGCGAATGCTAAAATATGTGAAAAAGTGTAAACAATATACAATGGAAGAGAATAAAAGAATAAAATAATAAAATACTAACATAATCGTAGCACGAATTGTTCTAAACAAATAGTTTGGCGCGAATTGAATCGCACTGTATGTTTAGCGTTGGTTTCAGTTCTTTGATAAAAAAAATTTCAAAAACAAGGCAGTCAAATTTTTAATAGAACTCGTTTCGCAAAGTAGTAATTTTGACAGAATTACTATTTCGCGAAATGGCGTTTTTTTTTGTTACCTTTATTTAGCAAACATGTCGTGTTCTTCTGAAACAAAATGTTTCCACTAATAAAATGATCAATATTTCTAAGAGCCTGGTCACCTCCCATTTTATTGACCATAATAGAACGCGTTTCGCAAAGTAGTAATTTTGCCAGGATTACTATTTTGCGAAATGGCGTTTTTTCACCTTTATTTAGCAAATACTTCCTCTTCGTCCGAAACAAAATGTGTCCACTAATATAATAATCAAGTATTTCTAAGAGCCTGATCACCTCTCATTTTATTGACCATAATAGAACTCGTTTCGTAAAGTAGTAATTATGCCAGAATTACTATTTTGCGAAATGGCGTTTTTTCACCTTTCAGTTAGCAAATATGTCCTCTTCGTCCAAACCAAAATGTGTCCACTATTAAAATGATCAATTTTTCTCAGAGCCTGGTCACCTCTGACATTCCCGCATCAGGAAACAAGTATACAATCAGGCTAGTAAAATCCCAAATCGCATTCTCTCTGGAAGCTCAGTGCCACAAAAAGGAGCAGATTTCACCAAATTAATTGCCAAGCTTTAAACTTCTAATTTTGTAAAAGAAGTCATTTGGTCTGCGCCATGGAAAAGACACCACAGCAAACACGTTTGCAGCAAAAGAGTCGCATATTGAATGGTTAAAGACATTTTGTTCTGGAACCAATCCCAAATCGCAATGATTTCCCAAGTATTCTTTAATGAACTCTTGTGCCAGATGATGCTAGGTGACGGTTTGTTATTTTGCTCACCTCGTTTTACATTGACCGCACTACCCAGGCTTCGGAAAGACATTTTGGAGAGGAAATTGTTGTGGCTAAACAAAAAAACTTTAAACCAAGTCAAGTGGAACGGCTTGCCAGTCAGGCATGTGGGTTGTTGGTCAACTATAAAATCGAGTTGTGGCAACCATAAAAAGAACAGAACAAAATACAAGGAATACAGAGCAGAATATAAAAGACAATTATAACGACAATAAAGAGTAAACTCCGAGTCAATAAAGAGCAATTGAGAACAAGTAGTTGTCTTTCATTTTGTTTCGGGCGAAGAGGACATATTTCGTAAATGTAGGTGAAAAAACGCAATTTCGCAAAATAGTAATTCTGGCAAAATTACTACTTTGCGAAACGAGTTCTATTATGGTCAATAAAATGAGAGGTGACCAGGCTCTTAGAAATATTTTGGATATATCAACAAAGTTGAAATGGTAAATTAGCCACCGTAATGATTACAAAAGCTGACGTTTCGAGCGTTAGCCCTTCGTCGGAGCGAATAGAGGAATTGTGGGTTGTGTGTGCTTTTAAAGGCAGAAAGTGGAGCTACGTTAAAAGCACACACAACCCACATTTCCTCTATTCGCTCCGACGAAGGGCTAACGCTCGAAACGTCAGCTTTTGTAATCATTACGGTGGCTAATTTACCATTTCAACTTTGTTGATATATCCAAAATATTTCTAAGAGCCTGGTCACCTCTCATTTTATTGACCATAATAGAACTCGTTTCGCAAAGTAGTAATTTTGCCAGAATTACTATTTTGCGAAATTGCGTTTTTTCACCTACATTTACGAAATATGTCCTCTTCGCCCGAAACAAAATGAAAGACAACTACTTGTTCTCAATTGCTCTTTATTGACTCGGAGTTTACTCTTTATTGTCGTTATAATTGTCTTTTATATTCTGCTCTGTATTCCTTGTATTTTGTTCTGTTCTTTTTATGGTTGCCACAACTCGATTTTATAGTTGACCAACAACCCACATGCCTGACTGGCAAGCCGTTCCACTTGACTTGGTTTAAAGTTTTTTTGTTTAGCCACAACAATTTCCTCTCCAAAATGTCTTTCCGAAGCCTGGGTAGTGCGGTCAATGTAAAACGAGGTGAGCAAAATAACAAACCGTCACCTAGCATCATCTGGCACAAGAGTTCATTAAAGAATACTTGGGAAATCATTGCGATTTGGGATTGGTTCCAGAACAAAATGTCTTTAACCATTCAATATGCGACTCTTTTGCTGCAAACGTGTTTGCTGTGGTGTCTTTTCCATGGCGCAGACCAAATGACTTCTTTTACAAAATTAGAAGTTTAAAGCTTGGCAATTAATTTGGTGAAATCTGCTCCTTTTTGTGGCACTGAGCTTCCAGAGAGAATGCGATTTGGGATTTTACTAGCCTGATTGTATACTTGTTTCCTG